GCGAGGAACGGATCGCCGAATTGAATCGACGCGGATTGGCTACCGACGGGTCCGACCCCGAGCTGGCGCTTCGCTTGTTACGCTTGCTGACGACCGCGCGTCGCGGCGGCGGCTCCGAAAGGGCATCCGAGTCGAACCGTGTAGCCGACTCCGAATCAAACCGCGCGACGAGCGTCGAATTAATACAGCTGACGGGGGCCGATGCGAGTCACCCGGTTAATACGGGATATCTTGAGATCCCTGTGGGGGACATCCGCCCGGATAGTCCGTCCGCGGGGTTAGTTGCGTCTTCGCACCTCGATCACTCGGGCGTTTCCCGGGATCACGTGCATCGAACCTCTCACGAGGCGGGCGAAAACTCCGCGACAACCATTTATAATATTATGCGGAAATGGGACTTAAAGTTTTCAGGCGCGCGCGCGGAGGATGCCGAGGCGTTTCTGTTGCGCGTTGAGGAGGGCCGCGAATTGATTCCGGTCGCGGATGAGGATATTTTACGATGTCTCCCGTTCTTTCTCTCAGGTATAGCGCTTTATTGGTTTCGCGGGAAGAGGGAACGGCTGACGACATGGGCCGCGTTTAAAACCGCGTGGCGTACACGTTTCGGAAACCCGGATTTTCAGTTCGCCCTACGCGACGAAATTATGCGGCGAACGCAAGGGGAACAGGAGTCCGTAACGGACTTCCTGACGTGCTTAAACACCCTTTTCGATCGGTTATCGCCGCCGTGGCGCGAGGAGGAGAAGGTCAGATACGCGCACCGACACATGCTGCCCCGGTTGCAGACTTTAATACCTCGGGACGCGATAGACAATATGGACGCGCTCGAGCAATGGGCTGCGCGTGCGGAGGCTAGCTGCCGCGCCGCACAGAATTATCGTGCTCCACCTCCACCGGAACGGTCCTTCTTCCCGGATCTCGCTTACCGAACGCCGAAGGGCGCGAACCGACAGGGGGGCGGGCAAAATCGCGATTCCGTGGCTGCTCTCGGCGCGACTAACGCAAATTCGAGCGGGGCGGGGGCGGGCGCAAAAAGGGCCAATGCCCGCGGGCCGAAAGAGAATACCCCGGCTGTGACTGCTGCATCTGCGGCGAATACGCCGAGCACCTCCTCGGTCACCGCAAACGCGACGCCGGCCGCAAAATGTTGGAATTGCGATTCGACTGGGCATTTCGCGCGAGATTGTAAGGCCCCGCCGCGTAAACACTGTTATCGGTGTGGGAAGGCCGAATACACCACCCGCACGTGCCCGACGTGTTCGGGAAACGAGTAAAGGAGTCGCGAACCAGGGGCAACCCGACTCCTACCCCCTCCGCCCCTGAAAAGTCGTTACCGATGGGGTACCGCGATGCCGCGTATAGCGCGTTTAACGAACCGGGAGGCTCGGCCTCTCTCCAGTTTCTGCGCATCCAAATCAAGGGATTTGAGATCAGCGCTTTAGTAGACTCGGGGTCTAGCCGTACGTTCGCGGGTCCGGAAATTATCGCATTAATTAAGCAGCTCGGTTTTAAGTTCAATCCGGCCGGCGGCAAGCGCGTGACGACCGCGACCAATCAGACGGCGAGAATAAGGGGGGAAGTAAGGGTTCCGATTAGCGTGCACGGTAAAACATTGAACATGAGAGTTCATTCACTACCGACATTAGCGTTACCGTGTATATTGGGTGTGGATTTCCTGACGGCATTCGGAGTAAATATCAATTTCGCGAACGGTACTTGGAATTCCTCGCGATCTTACCCTTTCGAGAAGGGATCTTCTAGCTCTCTCGCGAGCGTTCGGGTGATAGTGGCCGGAGATGACAGCGTGGATATCGAGCTAGGTCAAGCGGGGGAGGGAGAAGGGACGCGAAAGCCAGAAGCGTCGCCTCTCGTTTGCTGCGGACTAAGCGAGTTAACTCCCAAACAAGAAAAACAGTTGCAATCGTTCCTAAAGTCACGAATTGCGGGAGGTACGGAGGAACTCGGAGCCACCACGTTGACCGAACATAATATTGAGGTAGGAGGCCACCCTCCCATTCGGCAACGTTGTTACCCCGTGTCCCCGAAAATAAAGGAAGCCATTTACGAGGAAGTAGATCGCCTACTAAAGGCCGGTATAATAGAGCCGTCGCAGAGCGAGTGGTCGACGCCTATCGTAATGATTAAAAAGCCTAACGGGACGTATCGCTTCTGCTTAGATTTCCGACTCGTGAACAATGTCTCGAAAAAAGACGCGTACCCACTACCGTATATGAACGCGATCTTAGACAAACTGCGTAAGGCACGGTATATTTCGACCATCGATCTCAGCCAAGCTTACTTCCAGATCCCGCTATCAACAAAGAGCAAGGAAATCACGGCTTTTGCGGTACCGGGAAAAGGCTTATTTCATTTTAAGCGAATGCCGTTTGGCTTAACAGGAGCTCCCGCCACTTTTCAGAGGTTATTAGATCGTTTAATTGGACCAGAAATGGATCCTTACGCGTTCGCGTATCTGGATGATATCGTCGTGGCTACCGAAACTTTCGAAGAGCATCTCGAATGGTTGGGACAAGTTTTCGCGCGTATTCGCGAGGCGGGCTTAACGATTAATCCTGAGAAAAGTAAATTCTGTCGCTCGCAAGTAAAGTACCTCGGATTTTTAGTCCAACGGGAGGGTTTGAAGGTCGATCCCGACAAGACTGTTGCGATTAGGGAATATCCCGCGCCGCGTAACCTCCGACAGTTACGCCGCTTTATCGGTATGGCCTCTTGGTACCGTCGTTTCATCCCGCAGTGTGCTACTCTTCTCGAACCGTTAACGCGGTTACTTAAAAAGAATCAAGTGTGGGAATGGGGCGAAGAACAAAGGTCCGCTTTCGACACAATAAAGGAGTGTCTGACGTCCCCGCCAACCCTATCGTGTCCGGACTTTAGCGTGCCGTTTGTGCTGCAGACAGATGCAAGTTCCGTAGGTCTAGGCGCTGTGCTAACACAGCAGATTGACGGTCACGAGCATGTGGTGGCTTTCGCGAGTAGAGCCCTGTCCGACGCGGAGAAAAAGTACTCGACAACCGAGCAGGAATGCCTAGCGGTCGTGTGGGCAATTAAGAAATTCCGACCCTACCTCGAGGGCTATCGCTTCACGGTTATTACGGACCATAGCAGCCTACGCTGGCTCCATAACCTAAAGAATCCTACCGGACGTCTAGCCAGATGGGCCCTCGAACTACTTGAGTACGATTATCGGATCGAGCATAGAAAAGGGGCGTTGCACCACGTACCCGACGCACTCTCGCGAATTTACGAGAAAGAAAACGATTTGTGCGCAGCGGTCGCGATCGAAGATGAGTGGTACGCGAAACGGTTTGACGACGTTACCGAGCACCCACGCCGATTCCCCGGGTGGAAAATCGAGGGAGGACAGTTATATTTCCGCAGACCTCACCCGATAGTAGGCGAACTGGTAGACGATCTCGACCAGTGGAAACGTGTCGTACCTAAGGACTCGCGGGAGGAGATAATTCGCGATAATCACGATCCGCCTCAGGCCGGACACTTCGGCGTTGCAAAAACCTACCGCCGTGTCGCGACGCGGTACTACTGGCCACAGATGTTTCGCGATATTGCTAGATATGTGCGTCGGTGCGACCCATGCCAGCGAACCAAAGTAGAGCAGGACGTCCCCGCGGGATTAATGGGACAACGTGTCATTGAAGCTCCGTGGACGGTAGTTGCCGCGGATATAATGGGGCCGCTTCCGCCGAGCAGATCTGGTCACGCGTATCTTCTCGTAATACAAGACCTCTTCACTAAATGGGTTGAGTGTTGCCCGTTACGTAAGGCTACCGGCAAGAAAATCCGAGAGGCTATCGAAGACCTCGTTATTTTTCGTTGGGGAGCCCCGCGCGTCTTGTTAACTGACAACGGCACCGAGTTTTTGAATCGAGAGTTGCACGCGTTAGCGGAACAGTACGGCATTCAGCACACGACGGTACCGCCGTATCATCCACAAGCGAACCCTGTCGAACGAGTCAATCGCGTATTAAAAACAATGATTACCGCTTATTTGGAACGGGACCACCGCGAATGGGACCAACATATTAACGAGTTCCGTTTCGCGTACAATTCCGCACACCATACTTCGCTGCAGGCGACACCCGCTTTTCTAAATTTCGGGAGGGAACCTCAACCTGTTAATCTATCTCGCGGACGGGAAGACGAAGCTGTCGCGGTAGAGAACTCCGATCCTGCCCTGTGGAGGGAAAGAATGGAGAAGATCCAACAGTTACGGACGTGGATTATCGAAAATTTAGAGACGGCTCGAATGAAACAAACCCAATATTATAATTTGCGTAGGCGAGATCGCCAGTTCGTGGTGGGCGACCGCGTATTGAAACGACAGCACGTCTTATCGTCCGCCGCTCAACACGTTTCCGCGAAATTGTCTACAAAATTTCATGGCCCCTTTTCCGTACGAAAAATTCTGTCGCCAGTCGTATACAAGCTTGCCGATTCCTTAGGCAACTCGATCGGAAAAATTCACATCAAAGACTTAAAACCTTATTATGAATAGTATTCGCGTTCTCCTTTTGTTATTATTTTGGGGCTCACGCTTTAAGTGTCTTTCCGTAGGCTACCGTACGGGCTCTGAGGTAAGGAGAGACCCACGCCGAAAGTTAGTTTTTCCTCTTATGATGGATCCCCGCGACCCGTGGTTGAGTAAGTGGATCGACCGGCTACGCGATTGCTGCATATGCCGGCACACCCGTCTACACCGGGGAGGCGAAGGGGGGCAAAGCCACTTCGAGGCGGCTACCCCGACCGTCAGCGGGACCACGGGGGTGGACACCCGGGCCGCGCCCGAGACCATGGAGGTCGAGACCCAAATCGAGCGCGAGCGGATCACTCAGACCTCCGACTCGGAGGAAGGATCTTCCAGGGGCGAGATGCTCTGGTGGGTGAAACAATCCCCCGAGTGGAAGGGGGTCCGATCCACGTCGCCCCCGGACCGCCCAGCAATGGAGGCTATCGACCGGCCGTCTACTCCGAGGAACCCGAGCCCGGATATCGCGTCAACGGACAGGACCGAGGAGGACCGGTCAAGGGCTAGGGAGGCTTGCTGGAATTGCGAGTCTCCCTCCCACTTCGCGTACGAATGCCCCTTGCCGAGGAGGCCCGGATTTTGCTTTCGGTGCGGCCAGAAAGGCTACACGGTACGCACCTGCCCGGAGTGCGGCGCAGCCTGGAGGCTGGAAGGCCCCTACAAAGAGGGCAAAGGCCACGACCTGGGCCAGGAGGCTCCAAGGAGGCGCGGACCCCCTCCCGGAACCCCGCGCTACTGAGCCCCAAAACTCGCGATACCGCGACATGTTCCTTTCTCGTTTTCTTTTTTTTTTATCGACACCAACATAAAATTTTTTTTTCTTTTCTTCCTTTCGTTGCGTCGGGGGGGAAATAATTCTCCTTTCACGATACCAGGTGCCGTATTCGTTTCCTTTGAGTGTAAATAAATTGCTGTAATCAAGCCTTATGCGAAGTTCTTAACCCACCCAAAGACCTCCGTCCTTCGTCAATTTCCGGATCGCAGGAAACCCGCCGTGAACGGCCGTCGCGTCAAAGATACCGCGCCGGTCCGACCATACGTAATAGGGCCGCGATGGGACATATTCGCGCTCTCGTTCTGCGGTCGACACGTCATTTCGCGTTTGGTTTTGGAATGCTCGCCGAGGGCGGCGTAGCGAAACTTATGGCCGAGTATTCGACCACAAAGGGGGTAACTCCTCCGCTTTGGTATTAGTGTTAGGTTTGGTTTTGGATAGACGGTCGACAACAAGCGGGAGGCATTTCGCCGTCGTAGGCTATCGTACCAGAGTCCGACTGCGCCGCGTGGACAGGTCCGAAACGAAGAAACGGGGAGATGATGAACTGCGTTCCCGGATTGCGACCCCCGAGGCTGCAGTGCGTGGGGGTGGGCCGAAGAGTTATTAGGATAGAATTAGCTATTAATTTCTTTTTTTTTTCAGCGTAACAGTTTTTTTTGTTATGTTGTGATGTCTTACTTGTGTTCGTTCCGTTGTCCTGAGGCCCGAAGCTGGAGATCTCGATCGCGTGGCGTTCTTATGGTCACCCCGGGGGGGCGAGTGGCTGAACGGGGCAACCGCGCCCGGTATGCTCCTTCTTGGGGTGGGGTGTTGTGACGTTGCGGCTCGCCGTCCCGTCGCGGCGCCCCGCCGCCGTCACAAGGCGCGGAATTTCGCGCCCAGGGACGGACCAGGGAGGCAACGACGAGATCTCCAGGGGTCGTATTTAATCGCGTTTCCGCATTCTGATTACTTTCTTTTGTTTTTTTTGCAATGTAATACGCGCGGCACCTCACCCGCACCACGGCAAGTTTCGAGGGAGTAATTGGCGAAGGACATCAAGGACGATCGATAACCAAGGAGGGGTGGCAAACGCGGAAGCAGCAGAGATCGCGGGCTGGCGAGAGCAACGCGGCAGGCGGGCGGCATGTGCGGCAGCGACGAACAAGGCCGCCGATAGCGGGGCCCCAAGCGCTTGGGTAAACACCCGGCTTCAGCAACTGATCTCCACAAAACACCGACCCACGGGGTGGCTGGCCACCGCCCCAGGGTCAAACCGGAGGCACACCGGCACGAGCGAAGTTCCGTCCGCCGCTAAGGACAAAATTTTAAGGAGTCGCACGCCGCCGAGGGACCGTTGCCCGCCCCGAAGGATCTCGTATCGACAGCACTGCGCCGGGACACCGCGGGCTTGCAAGCTCGCGCCCGATTGGTTCGCGCGCCCCTCAAGAAGGGGTACCGTATCGATTCCGCAATCGAGCGGGTCTAGCGTTTCACTCTCTGGTCGTCCGTCGGCGAGATACTAAGTTTTGTTACGATACGCGATAGCCACCCCGAGTTGGGTATTTCGAAAATTGTCTGGCGGATCGAGGATCGTTGGAGGAAGGTGACGGCGAGGAGCCCAGGAGCAGGCATATCACCGGTGAGGTTGCCCGTAAATCGCGATATGTAAAGCCACGACACCGCCCTCCGGTGCACGCTCTCGCTCGGGATAACGTATGTTAAGATTGAGTGTAATTTCGCGATCGATAACGAGAGCGAAGGGCCTCGGGATGGTATCGTGGCCGCGGAACCGTGGTACAAGCGTTATGGCGAATCCCTGGAGATCGCGATAGGCGTTAATGAGTTCGATATCGCGAGTATATTGCGTTGTCCTCGCGACCTTGGTGTACGGCCGCATACGGGCCGGTATTTCGTCAATTGCGCTACCGTTTCTTCGCGCCGGGAAATTCTTGTGGTCGAGCGTCTGTGGTAGCGTATCGATTTGTGTTCGGATCTCGTTATTACGGGTGATAATTGTGCTCTCGCGTTGAGAAACTTGCGTCCGGTATTAATTGCGTTACGTCCTATGGCGTCCCTGCTCGTGATAATCTCGAATTTTGCGTGTGAATGCCGATGGCATTGTTAATCGCGGTCGAAGGTCATTCTCGCCGATTGATTAATTATGTTAGACTCGTATTCGCGTTAAGAAATTACCGGCGTTCACACGTTTCGTGCGTTTAGATGTTACTTGCGTAGTTCTTCCTGGCGTTCCGTGGTTATTAGACGCTTACTTCGAGTCAAAGGTGGTGTGGCCTTCTCCACACCTGGCGCCCAACATTATTGGCGATATCGCGACTTGCTTGGTTAAATGACTCGGCGCCTCCCCGTTGCGCCCGAGCCGAATATCTCGCGTTAAGTTAAGACATCATTGTGACAGAGTTTTCGTACGGTCTTCGACTCGAATTATTAATTGTGTGAGAATAGAGCCTTCAGCGTGTTTATTAGAGACTCAATTTCTTGATTTGTTTATGGAATTTATTTTCTCGACAACCAGTACTCAATAAATGTTATTTTCTTTGTTATCTGACGGAGTATGAAATTATCGTGTCACCCCGCCGAATATAGCGCTGCCCTTCATTAACCCCGCCCGTGATTAGGTCAAGCTAGCCGATTCCACGCACCTCCACACTTCGTTCGCGTCTCGTTTAGGTTTTCGCGATTTCGTGGATGCAAATGTACGCGTCTGGCGCCCAATCTTTGGAACATTTCGTGGAGTATCGGAGGTGCGAGGAAATCACTGGAGAGGCCAACCATCCCGCTCTCCTAAGTCCTTTTGATCCGGCACACGTCCCGGAGCGGTCCGGGAGTGTAAAAAGTCGTGACAAAATTTGGCGCCCAACGTGGGGCCGCCGAAAGATCGCCGAAAGGCACGTAAAGGGCTCGGTACGGCGCTAAGATATTTTCGTGCGGGTGACAAAAGTCTCGCGGATTACTTGCTGGTTTCGTTTCCTTGTGTTTGTCGGAATAAAGAATTAATCCTTTCCTTATTTCATGTTTGATGCGATATTATATATGATATTTCTGATTGCGATATTATTTGTGTTGTGCCATATTATGTTTTGTCTAACCTCTTTCTTACAGCTTTGTGTGAAATATTATTTGGAATTTGATTAGTGAAATAAATGTAGTCGGGTGGGTAAATCGGAGATATTATTCAGTGCCGTGGGACGCGTCGGAATTTGGTGAAAGCGCGATTGCGATAACATCGGAATTCTGGTGTTTACATCGAGCGGACGATCGCGTCAGAAAAACTGTTTGCCTATTTCGCGTTACCGTTACATTCCTTTCGCGAGTGTTATTGTTCGTGTATTATTGTTCGCGTGTTATTCTCTTTCGGGAATACGGTAACATTCCGTAGCCTTCGCGCGGAATATAG